ATATGACCCAGGAATCCTACTCCTGGGCTTGTATCCAGAAGGAAATCTACTTCAGGATGACACCTGCACTCCAATGTTCATAGCAGCACTATTTACAATAGCCAAAACATGGAAACAGCCTAAATGTCCATCAATAGGTGACTGGATAAAGAAGATGTGGTATATTTATACAATGGAATACTACTCAGCCATAAAAACCGACAACATAACGCCATTTGCAGCAACATGGATGCTCCTAGAGAATGTCATTCTAAGTGAAGTAAGCCAGAAAGAGAAAGAAAAATACCATATGAGATCGCTCATATATGGAATCTAAAGACTCATGGACAGAGAATACAGACTTGTGGTTACCAGGGGGGTAGAGGGTGGGAAGGGATAGACTGGGATTTCAAAATTGTAGAATAGATAAACAAGATTACACTGTATATCACAGGGAAATATACACAAAATGTTATGATAAATCACAGAGAAAAAAATGTGACAATGAGTGTGTACATGTCCATGAATGACTGAAAAATTGTGCTGAACACTGGAATTTGACACAACATTGTAAAATGATTATAAATCAATAAAAAATGTTAAAAAAAGGCAATGTTTGAGTACTTTGATCATTTCTGCCAAGAACTGGACACTCATTCTAAAGCAATGACTCAAATAATGTCAATGTTTGCCATCATTCAGCCATTTTATCTCATTTTACAGAATGAAAATGGAGGTTTTTACTAAGCACAGTGAATGGTGAAGATAGTTTACTGGAAATTTTTGACTCTGGAGACTAATTGAAATCCACTAGAATGCATCCTCTGAAAACAAGGTAATATGCAATGTTATCATTTCTGAAATTTGTTGTGAAATGGGTTTTTAAGAATCTCCACCAAAATATATATGGATTGCTTCATGTAAAGAGACTTTCAAAGTTAAAACTGATAAAAAGAAGAAGAAGATAATTTTGATGAAGTCACTCACAAATTTGCAAAAGTTAAGGCTTGAAAATAAATTTTATTGTTATTCATTATTACAATAGACCAATGGGGGTATGTTTCCCCCCTTTCTCAAAAACTATGTTGATACATTTAGAAAGCATTTATTTCTTCTTTTTCTTTTTGGTATAGCAATACTTATTTTATTTTTCATTACTTTAAATGTTAATGGCATGATTATACATACAAAGTTCAACAAAAGAAACTTTTCACTGTATTTCTTTTCTATCCGATTATTTTCCATTTTATTTCATATTAATTATTGAAAATATATTTTCTTTTGTATAGTGAAAGGGACTGCTAAAATGTGATCCATTGGAAGGGTCAAATACAGATTGCTTGCTACATGTGAAGGAATTAGCACTCCCAGGGACCAGTCCTCTACAAGTGACTTTTGCCTTTGGTAGGTAACTATTCCAGCTCCCCTGCCCTTTGGATGGGGGTAATTCTGGGTCCTGAGTTTTGTGCCATTTCCCAGAGTTTCCTCATGAAATTGAGGTCCAGTTGCCAACTATGGTAACTGATTTAACAGTAAATCCTGCATTAGCTCCTTCCCTTCCCTGTAGCTCTTCCTTTCTGCCTGATTGGTTCTCTAGTAACCGAATACCCAAATCCATTATATTGGAGTCTGCTTCTGGGGGAACCATTATTATTTAATCTAGAACAGCTCTTGGACTTTTTTTTTTAATGTCAGTGATCTAAGCTGTGAGGTGATAATCTGATACCTTCTAAACATCTAGTTCCCCACTGTGGTAGGCAAAATCACACCCTTCCCCCAAAGATGTCCATGTCTTCATCTCCAGAATTTGTGAATATATTGTTACCTAGGAAGAGAAAATAAAGATTGCAGGTAGAATCAAGGATGATAATCAATTGACGTTAAGATACAGAGATTATTTTGGATTATCCAGGTGAGCCCAACATAAGCACAAGGGTCCTTGAAAGTGGAAGAAGGAAGCAGAGAGGGGAAGGTCAGGGTTAGAAGAAGATTTGAAGATGCTACACTGATAGCTTTGAAGAAGGAGAAAGAAGCAAGTAGGCAAGGGATGCAGGCAGAGTCAGATTCCCCACTAGGGCCTTGTAAGGAACATAGCCGTTGTGATCCTGATTTTAGCCCATTGAGACTCTTTTCAGACTTCTGACCTCCAGTACTTTAAGATAATAAGTTTGTATCTTTTAAGCCAATAAATTTGTAGTAATTTGTTACAGTAGTAACAGAAATACACCCACCAAACTTTGATCAGTTGGGTTTGCATCTATCGCTCATCATCACTGAAAACATCATTCCATGAGAGCTTGCAAAAAAGTGTTTTTTTTAATTTCGTCATTCTATCAACATTTTCTAGTTGAAATTCTTTTGTAAGGAAAGACCTTTCCTCATCAGCCAAGGATATTTGGTTACATGCAATTTGGCAGGCAGTTAGAATAGAAAAGGCATGCTAAATGCTAATAATTTCCTATTAATCGCCAATATTCAGAATTAGGAAAGAGTACAATAGCTATCACCAATGGTGACAAATGCATTTTTTAAAAGTATTATTATGATATGTGTTGACCTCAGTCAAGATAAATTCTGTAAGCCTTCTCTTCCTCACCTGCAATATAGGGATAATGGTCTTGCCTCATAGTCTGCTGTGAGGGTATAATAATAATAATAACAACAAATGTGTGCACCTAATAACAGATCTCAAAATGTATGAAGGAAAAATGGACAGAATCAAAGAGAGGAACAGACAGTTCTACAATAATGGTTGGAGACTATAAGCCTCACTGTCAAAAATGCATAGAAAAACCAGACAGAAGATAAGTAAAGCAGACTTGAATAGAAATGAAATTCTGATACATACTACAACATGGATGAAGCTTGAAGACATTGTACTAAGTGAAATTAACAAGTAACAAAAGGATGAGTATTGTACGAGGTACCTAGAATAGCCAAATTTATAGAAACAGAAAGTAGAACAGTTGTTGCCAGGAGCTGAGGGAAAGAGAATAGGGAGTTAGTGTTTAATGGGTACAGAATTTCAGTGTGAGATGATGAAAAAGTTCTGGAGATGGATAGTGGTGATGTTTGCACCACAATGTGAATGTAATTAATGCCGCTAAGTTAAAAATGGTACCACTTAAAAATGGTAACGTTTATGTATATTTTACAGTAATAAAATACATTTAAAATATAATACTAATACAGAGCTTGGTATGTTCTAGGTACCATTGTAGGCACTTTAAATAATATAAATACACTTACTTAGATGTAAATAATACACTTAGCATAAAGCCTGACACACAGAAGGTGCTTGATAAATGGTAGCTAATAATAATGACTGGTTGTTGTTGATGTCAGTGCCCATTTTGAAAATAAGAGACTGAGGCTTGGGGAGTTTAATGTACTTGCCCAAGACCACTCAGCCTGAAAGTGATGGTTCAAGGTCTCCATTTGGCTGCCAAACTCCAAAACCTTCACTTTCCCACTTTTCTGCTTCCCATGAATTATTGACTTTTACAGCCAGCAGCTGATAGGGATGGAAAAGATAGAACAGTTCCATCAATGTAGACAAACAGCTGTTAGCAACCAAGATTTTCAGTGCCAGAGAAAATTATAAAATCAGGGGACCTCTATATGAAAAGGTGATCAATATCACTATCGCCAGGGAAATGCAAATGAGAGCTACAATGAGATGACTGTCCAATCACTAGAATGACTAAAGGGAAAAACGGTTGTGATATTAAGTGTTGGCAGCTTGTGGAACAATCAGAACTTTCATGCTTTGCTATGGGAATGCAAAATAGTTCAACCACTTTGAAAATAGTTTGGCAGTATTTAATAAAGTTAAACACACACTTACATTTTCCTCAAATCTTACTCTTAGGTATTTATTCAAGAGAAATAAAAACATGTCAAGACTTGGAATGGAATGCTTTTACCTGCTTTACTGGAATATACCTGTTTTATTCATAATAACTCAAAAGTTGAAAACAATCCAACTGTCCATCAATTGGTGAGTGGATAAAAAAATTGTGGTATATTCATACTAATTCAGGAATAAAAATAAATATAATATTAATATATGCAAAAGTATAGATGAATCTCAAAAACATGCTAAGAGGTCAAACACAAAAGACTACATATCATGTACTGTTTATATAAAATTCCAGACAAGGAGAAGCTAAAGTGACAGAAAGGAGATCAGCAGTAGCGAGAAGTTGAGGGTCAAGAGATGAGATCAGCTGCACAGGGGCATGAGGGAGTCCTTTAGGGTGTTGGATGTTACACAGTTGTATTCCTAAAACAAGCACATTTTATTGTATGTAAACTATGCATCCATAACATTGGTATTAAGAAATCAGAGGAGTAACTAAAACTCCTATAATGTTAACTTGAATTAGTAATATTAGTATAAACTCATGTTTTTAAAAAAATTCATATTTCTCCGCCATGTTCCCCCATCCCTCCTCTTGGAGCCACCTCTGAATGGGCTGTAGTGTAAAAGTCCATTTTCAAGTTGCATGAACATATTGAGTCTTCCTGCCCATGAACCAAGCATGGATTTTTCTCCTTTCCATCAGCTGGTTGTTGCAATTCCTCCTCCAAAGCCATAGGTGAAGCTGATTGAGGAGAGGCCTCAATGCAAAAGAGGCAGGAAACATGTAATTTGGGTCCTATTTGTACCTTCTGGACCTGCTCAAGCCTGGTACCACATGTACCACTTAAATCATATGATAGACTTGCTGGTGGGTCTGATAGTACCTAGCTCTTGAGAAGCATCTTGGGTTTCATAATCATCTGATATTCTAGGTCAAGTGCTCAATTTATCCTAAGGCCTGATAACATGCCAGAAGTTTGTCTTTGAATAGTGAGGACCTCTCTGCTGCAGAAGCATGAACAGCTTTCTTCCAGAATCCTAGAAGTCTACACTGAAACTCTTATTTTGGGGCTCGTCAGAGATTCCACATAGTTTCCTTGTCTACCATGGAACCCTCTAAAGCCACTGGGTCTGCTGGGTCATATATCCCGAGGGTCAGGGCAGCTTTTACAGCAACCTGCACCAGCTTAGAGAGTTCTCAAAATAGGTAACCTCTAAGTCACCAATAAATGGAGTAGAGCAGTGTGCCTAAGTGTAGGCTGGCTTACTAAGGACTGTACCTCTTTCTTAGCTGTAGGAGATAAAGGGTGCAATAACAGCCTTAACTTTGAGGTAGTGAGATGTCCTCAAATGCCCTATGTCATTGGACTACTAAAAGCATTGCTGATGTGGCAGGCCCTTTAATTTTTGTGAGGTTAATCTATTCTCTGGCACACATATTTCTTTCCAAGAGTACTTCATGATGTCATCAGTAGGCGGATCAGTGTGGTGATGTTCTGTGGCAATGTCGGAATGATCAATGTTCCTTTGACTTATATTGAGACAGAAAGGAGGATTATCTTTGCCCTGGGGAAAGAAGGTCGGTGTGTATTGCTGTTCATCGTAGGTGACTGTGAAATGAGAACTGTGAACGGCTGGTCTTCCTTTTTGGTGGGGCTTACAAAGAATACATTTGCTCAGCCAATAGCTCCATACCACGTGCTGATTGATTCTAGCAGAGATACAATATCCGGTACAACGGCGGTAGCTGGATCTACCACTTTGCTAAATTTCTGGTAGTCCATTATTGTCCACCATGAACTTTTTTTCTTTTTTTTTTTGCAGGAGATGTAATGGTGAATTAGAAAGGGATATTGTAAAAATCACCACCCTGGTATCCCTTAACTCACTGAGGGTGAGCTAATTTCTGCCATTCCATCCATGATGTAGCACTGCTTCTGATTCCTTCTCTTGGCCAGGGCAGGGGACAGTTTCAGGGGCTTTCACTTGACCTTTTCTCACAGGACAGATTCCACTACAAGATGGACTTGGGCCAGGACTCCGTGTGTCATCTGGCCTTCATATAATTCCAGTCCAACAAGGGAGCCATGATGGCATATTGGGTTTCCTGGTAAGAGTGACAGATCAGGCACTTTATTCAACATCTCTCAAGGGACCTGGGTGTTTCCCTTTCTCCCATATGTAATTAGTCTTGTAACTAGGGCTTTGGGGGATAGGGGATAATATATAGTATATATACTTACTATGACACTGCCAGGCTCTTCTACAAGGGGACTTGCCTCTCCTTCAATTAATGGACTCTGGTTCTGAGAAGGCTCAAGTCTAGAAACTGAGCAAGGGAACATCATTCTTCATTGTGACAACTGATTATCAGTCTTCTGCTTCCATGTGCTTGTGTTTTTTGGTTTATAAGTCAGCACTCTAGATGGCTGTCCATCTGTCTCACCTCTGGAAACACTGATCTGTTAGCCATCACCACATAGCCCTGTGGGTCAGAGTCTCTGGTTACCATTCCAGTTTTGTTGCCATAAGACCCATCTTGTCTCTGATGTTTAAGTGCCGCCTCCTGGCCTCTCTATTCCCATTGACACTAGCTAGCCCAGTTCCACAGATGCATCTTTATCATCAACTTGGCTTACAGAGGGAAGCAACCACTGACTTTCTTCCTGTGCATTATTATTCCATAATGCACACCCGCTTAGTAAAGTGAGTGTCTTCTAGCCCTCTTACAGAACTTGGTCGCTGTCTGGTCTTATGTCATAAATCCATTCTAGCATAC